CCCAGGGCCGGGGCTGAAGGCGGGGTGTGAAGTTGGGGAAACATTTTTTTTTTTTTTTTTAAATTACTGTGATGATTATTACCTCTCGGTGCTTATTCAGGAAAAGCAAACAAACAAAAATCTGGTCCTTGAGGCTTCAGTTCTGAATGTGAAATATTACCTACCAGCTGGTAAAGTTGTGAGGCTCAGCATTTTTTTTTTAAATTTTTTTTTCTTTAAGCAAGGAGGAAAAAAAACCTAAACAAACAAAAAAAGGACTTCTGATCCGTGTGCCAAAGTAGGGGGAGATATGTTATTGACCGATTTATACTGGCTGAGATGATACTTGCTTTCTACTTCTTGATCACTTGCTCTTTAAGTAAAATGAGGCACAGAGTTGTTGCTGAGACGAGTGGGAACAGCATTTTGATTTGCTGGTTTAATTAAAAAATGATAAAGGATTAAAGGTAAGCATTATGCATATATATGTATAAATATTTCGACAGTCGACTGTAAAAGGGAGAGATCCCTTTAAAAATCGTTTTAACTAAGCTTTGTCAAACACACACTCATTTGCGGTCACTGAGGCCACCTTGGTGCAGATCACTTAAAGTGTATGTCTTAATCAGTTTCCTGTACAGTCAGTAATACTATATTTAACATACCTAACAATTGTGTGACCTAGGAGTACATTAGAACTGCTTTTAGAACTGTTATCTTGAGAATATTTTTTTTAAAGAAAAAAGACCTTTTTATTTCTTTTTTATTTTTAACCTATGGAGTTTAATATTTTCCAGTGAAACATTTGTGTTTGTAGGTTGTTGGTTTTTAACAGAAGCTGTATTGTGGCAAAGAAAATTAGGTTTCCCACTTCCCTTAGTGCTCCCTCCTCCCCCGCCCCCCCAAGAGATTAAGTGGAAGGGTGGTAAAAGATAATATAGGAGAGTCACAAAACTTCAAGGGTCTGGTTTAAAGCCACAGAATCCATGGAATGCAGTGAAGAGTGAATCTGTGTCCTTCCTTTTCTCCCTTTCGTGCCTAGGTGGTGGTCCAAGGGGTTAGATTACAACATGTGCTCCAACAGCTAGGCACCACTCCTAAGACTGTATTTCCTGAGCTTTGTGGATTTAAATCATGTAGTTAATTTTTTTCTCCCCTCCCCCCCTTTTTTTTTTTCCTTTTTTGTGGACATGACTTTTTAAGAGAGATTGTGGATGTTAGTATACATCTAGATTAAAGATGCTCTCTATGAAAGCATCACGGCCATTGCCTCCGGTTAACAAACTTAAGAAAAAAACGTGGCAACGGTGAATGATTTCGCGCCCCCTACCTTGCCCCCTTTTTGTTAGTCGTATTATATTCTGGTAACACCCAGACAAGCAATCTTCGACTTTTCCCCTCCTCACAGGACAAGGTGGACGTGGACTGCAGGTTGTGAACCTAGGCACACCTGGGGGAGGAAGACAAGAAGAGTTGAACTTAAGAGAGCCCAACGGAGATAAACGAATGTCCCCACATCTCCAAAGGAAAGTTCATCGGATTTTTACTCTAGAGATCTCATCTTCAGGATGTCATTGAACACTTCCACTGCAGGAAAAGGTGTGGATCCAAACACGGTTGACACTTACGACAGTGGCGATGATTGGGAAATCGGTGTTGGGAATTTAATAATCGATTTGGACGCCGATTTGGAGAAGGACAGACAGAAATTTGAGATGAATAATTCTACTAATACCACCAGCAGCAGCAACACCAGCTCCAAGGATTGCGGGGGTCTGGCTTCCAGTGGGGCTAATGCTACCTCAGCCTTAGCTGATGGCCTAAAATTTGCTTCTGTTCAGCCCTCTGCTCCCCAGGGGAATTCCTCTCACAAAGAGACTAGCAAATCAAAAGTGAAAAGGAGTAAAACTTCTAAGGATGCTAATAAATCTCTGCCTTCTGCTGCCTTGTATGGGATTCCTGAGATCAGCAGTGCTGGCAAGAGGCAGGAAGTCCAAGGGCGCCCTGGAGAGGCAACTGGCATGAATTCAGCACTGGGTCAAAGCGTGAGCAGTAACCCAAACGGCAATAATAACAACACCAGCAACACCACCACCATTGCCTCTTGTGGGAAAAACAAAGAGGAGAAACCAGGTAAAGCCCCGGGCAGCAGAGGCTCCAAGAGGGATAAGGATGCGGGAAAATCCAGGAAGGACAAGCAGCATGACCTGCAGCAGGGCCACCCCAACGGCGGTGGGGGTGGCAGCAGCCAAGCTCCCCCTGGGCACCTCTATGGCTTCGGGGCCAAGGGGGGGGGGGGGGGGGGGCGGGGGCCCC